GTTTACCATTAACTCCCAAGCAAGTTTCTCTCGCAGCGCCCAGACTCCACAGCAACGACAACTAAACGCACTGTGTGGGGAGGGTGCTGAGGGCAGGGAAGGCCACCAGGGATGTCCCAGGGCCACTCCCTGGGCTTGTGACATATCCTGTTCTCATGCCCTGCTGTGGCCTCCCTGGGACCGGGGCACAGCAGGAAAGAGAACTAGGAGAGGCCCCCTCCTCTCTCGGCTGAGCGGGACTGCGCGTCCACGGGCGTTCAGTCTCAGATGAAGACAGCAGCTGGGATGCCAATGCTTTCCTGCTTGGGATCTTTCAGCTCGAGAAACTCGCAGCCAGCCTGCTCCCCGGGCCCTTGTTTGTTAAGGCCTGGACAGAGGACCCTCAGTTCCCTAAGGCTGCTACCCCGTAAATCAAACAGAACGGAGTAGATCCTGCCTCCACCGTGAATCAGAGAGCCAGGAATCTCAGAGGTTTCTGGCCCACAGAGAACGATCGTTTCAGATCTGAGAGAAACCTGGAAGATTCCTAGTCACACCTACTCACTGGGGCCCCTGTTGGAAGGCCACTGAGAGGAAGGAGGATGGTTCTGGAGAAAAAAAAACTCTTAGCTTTCCTAGCCACAAAAGAAAGGAAAAGAATCTTACACCTTTTCCAGGCAGGCTCTCTGCTCTGTTGACAAGACTAGCCTGAAACTCAAAACCACTCTACCCCAGCCTCTGCCTCCTAGGATTAGAGGCAGCACACACGGGCCGACTCTCAAAGGGATCCGGACGGCCCACCTGACAGACTCTCTGCATTTCTGTGGGTACACAGGGCCCCAGAGTCTGCCTGTCCTGTCACCTGTCCCACCAGTACAGCTCCTAGCTCCCCGACACTTGCTCCATTGGTAGGCAGCCCTCCCACACCTGGCTTCCTCCAGCAAAGTGAGCTCAAGCTCTGCTCCTTCCAGGGTCCCAACCCAGCACCCCTGTGACATGCCAGCAGTCAGGTGAAGGCTGCACACCCAGTCCTCAGCCCCTACAGATGTGCTCACTATCCTTCCTTTTTTCTTTTTTTGGTTTTTTGAGACAGGGTTTCTCTGTGGCTTTGGAGGCTGTCCTGGAACTCGCTTGGTAGTCCAGGCTGGTCTCGAACTCACAGAGATCCGCCTGCCTCTGCCTCCCGAGTGCTGGGATTAAAGGCGTGCACCACCAACGTCCGGCCTATCCTTCCTTTTTTCAAACAAAAAATTACATTTTTTATTTGAAGACATGGTTTCTCTGAATAGTCCTGGCTGTCATGGAACTCGCTCTGTAGACCAGGTTGGCTTCAAACTTACAGATGCACCTGCCTCTGCCTCCCGAGAGTGAGTATTAAATATGTGAGCTAACGAGCCTAGGTTCAATTGTGGCGCACACCTTTAATCCCAGCACCCAAGAGGTGGAGGCAGGCAGATCTCTGCGAGTTCGAGGCCAGCCTGGTCTACAGAGTGAGTGCCAGGATAGGCTCCAAAGCTACACAGAGAAACCCTGTCTTGAAAAACAAGACAAAACAAACAAAAATAAAAAATACTATGTGTTACTTTGCCCGCATTTATGTTTGTGCATCTTACGTGTGCCTAATGCCTGTGGAGTCCAGAAGAGGGCGCCATCTGCAGTGCTTGAGGAGGCCAGAAGAGGGGACCCCCTGTAACTGGAGTGACATATGGCTGTGAGCCTCCATGTGGGGAGCCTTCCTTTGGAAGAGCAAGTGCTCTTAACCAGGAAGTCATCTTTCCAGGCTGTGCTCCTTGCTTTTTCTTTCTTTGCTGTTTCTGAAACAGGCGCGTATATAGGCACGTTTATAGCCCAGGCTAGCCCCAAGTGCCTTATGCAGCTGAGGCTGAACTTCAGCTTCCGGCTCTCTGGCCAACACCTCCTACGTGCAGTGCCTACAGGTGTGCGTCGCCACAGCTGGCTCACAGCGTTGGGGACTGAACCCAGGGCTCTGTGCGTGCTGGGCAAACTCTCCGCCAGCTGAGCTGCACCCCAGCTCCTGTGTCTATCACTCCAGTTAGGTTTTCTTTCCTCCCTGTCTCAGAGTTCTGTAAGTCACTATTTATATCACCCCTTTAAATCGGCACCGAGACTAGTGTGATGTGGATGATTAATTTACTGGGCAAGAGGGAGCCATGTTTAACAGAAAAAGTGTCCTGTCCACCTGCAAGGAAAACAAGACCCTGGAGCCCAAAAAAATCAGAGTCTCCAGGGCTCAGTCAACCCCTATGCCCTACAAATATGGAGACCCAGGGTCCTTCCTGCTCTGGGAAGCACTCCCAGTGTGATTTGAGAGGGCTGTCCGTGTGTGGAAGCTGTGCAGAGGCTAAAATGCAACTTAAGAGGGGCGGAGGCTCCGTTGATAGAGCTACTTGCTTGTTAGCCTGGGAGAAGCCCTGGGTTCCATTCTGCATAAACAGGACTTGGTGGTGTAAGCTTGTAATCCCAGCAGCTGGGAGGCAGAGGCTGAAGGATCACAAGTGCAAAGTCATCCCCTGCTACATATAGTATTCGAGGCCAGTCTAGGATACATGAGACGGTGACCCAAAAAGAAATAAATTACAGAAATGCTATTAAGACAGTTTACACACACAGGCATACACACACACTGGTTACTATAAAGCCAGCTTCGGGCCCCAAAGGGCATAAAAATTTAGCTGTATTCCTTCCATACGAGAATCTCCCTCCGTGGCATCCAACAACTGCTGCAAAAGCCACCAGGGACGATTTAGGTGGCCCCTCCCCTGCCACAAGCTGTCCACTGTTACTGTGTCTCCAAGAGGAGAGCAGCAGACCCCTCAGGAGGTGAGGTCCCAGAGCGCAGCCCCCTCAGGAGCAAGGGGGTCTATCCGTTCAATGGGGCTGGCCAGTGTCCTGCCTGCCCACTCAGAAACCCGTCCAGGGAGGGGCAGGTGGGCTGCACTCTTTCCTCGACACTTCAGTAGAATGCTTGCCCAGGTTTTCTAACGCACGGAGCCCACGCTGCTGTTGAGGCAGCCATCTCCCCCATCTGTTCCTACCTGTCCTTTCACATTTGGTCGGCCTGCTCGGCTCCAGCCAACTCACAGTCTTGGGCATTTTCTTCAGCTTAGCCTCCCTTGGTCCAACATTTCCATCCCAGAAGTTTGTGTCCCTAACTTCACTCCTGGAGGGTTCTTGCCAAGACCTTTTTGAAATCCATCTTTCTCCCTCCCCCCCCAAAAAATCCAAGCCTTGAGAATCTAAGGGAATGGGGGGCCGTTAGGGAGCGGGGAGTGGGCCTTCCAGAACATGGACACAGTTACCACAGAGCCACTGAAAGCTGATCCTGGTCACTAGAGGGTTATTACTCACCCTCAGCTTCCAGGGCCCCAACACCGAGAACTCTGTCTGAATTCCCCAGTGCCCGGGAGCTTGGAGAGCTGCCCAGCTGCCAGCACCAGCTGCAGGCTGAAGACGGGGCCTGCTTCCTGAGCTCACAGAAGGTGCAGGGAACACAACGATGGTGACGTTTAAACGTGAATAGAGAGCTCAGATGTGAGACGGGGGCAGTCAGGGAATAAAGAGCCAAGTGGCAACTGTCCAAAGAGGAGCATCATAGAGATGACCAGAGGCTCAGGGAGGGCGGGGAGGGACGCGCGGCCCTCCCCCGGTGATCTAGCTCCATGTTGAACATGCTGTCCTTTTCACTACCCTGTCCCCTTTCTTCTGTCCTCTCCAAACCACAGGCCGCGCTGCTTGTCTCTATAGCTTCCTCTCAGGTGGCCTCCACTACTTCAGCCAGTTGGTGGCCCCAGTCTTGGCCCTCCCGGAGTGGCGGTCACCACATATGTCCCCATTCTCTCAGTTTGAGGAAAGCCAATGTTTTGGCAAAAAAAAATTTTTTCTTCACACGTATTTATTGTGTGTGCGAGCACGTATGCACACATTCACCGAAGTCAGAGAACAGCTTGCCGGGGCAGGTTCTCTCCTAACACTGTGTGGTCCTGGGGACTGAGCTCAGGTCGGCTAGCTTGGTGGCAGGTTCCTCTATCTGCTGAGCCCAAGTCAGTGGTTTTATTTGTTTTGTGTCTTAAATAAGGTCTTACTGTGTGGTCCATGCTGCCCTGAATTCACAGAGATCTACCCGCCTCTGCCTCCAGGGTGCTGGGATTAAAGGCCTGAAATGATGGAAATGCAAGGAATTTTCCCTTTGCTAGAAGCTCAGGGAAAATCAACCCAAATTCTTAGTTCTTTCTGGATCTTCTTTGACTTATGATGTGGCCTTTTTGATTCAGAGAATGTGATGAATGGGGTATGGATGGCATCCTATGGGAGGTAGGTGTGTGTGTGTGTGTGTGTGTGTGTGTGTGTGTGTGTGTGGTTTGTATGGGTTAGTTTAATAGCAAACAGGGAAGGGATGCCTTGGGTAAGCCTGCGCTCTTTTGAGTAGTCTTGTGGTCTTTCCCTGAGCTGCTGGCCCTTGTCCTCTCTGCCTACTCATCTCATCCTGACCAACCTTGCTCTCCACTCCAATCAGTGAGCTGTCTCACATCTCTTGAAGACACGTTCAGCCTCTCCCGATTCCTGGCCTTCGTACAGACAGCTCCTTCTGCCTGCAACACGCTCTTGGTCTCGGTGCTAAGTCAGGATATGCCCCACCCTTTGCCGTGGGAACTCGCTGCCTCTAACAAGCGCCTCCCCACATGGTCCCCTGTAGACTGCTTACTTCTTGGTCTCCCACTGGAGTGAGAACTCTGCAGGGCAGGTCCACATAGCTTTCACCTTGGTTTCCCTCAACATACAAGAGATTGCCCAGTTCATAGTGTGCCGCACAGGAAGCAGTCCAGATACCAGGCAGGCACACACAGCCTGAAGTCAGTCAGTTCTGCCTCCTTTTACACCATGATGTTGCCTCACAGGCCTCCAGGTCATCCTCGTTCCCCGGGAACCCAATCTCTACACCCTTGAGAGGCTAAGACCGAGCACCACTTCCATACACTATCACAAGTAGCAGAGGTTGGTACCTGAGTTTGTCCGCAATGAAGATGACCCTCCTTTCCAGAAGCAGGGAGGCAAAAACACTGACCAAGTGTCGGACGCTGAGGGAGGAGAAAAGACACTCAAAGTCCACGTGCTCCAGTCGGGAGTCCAGGGGACGGCACAGCTCAATCACCTGCCGGGGAATGGTAGCAGCTATGAAGGTAGGCTTACACGTTGGCCTCCCTGGAGACAAGGAAGATGGACGGCACAGGTCGTGGCCCTTGGCCAAATAAGGAGGCGTCTCCTGGAAGAGTGTATCTGGATGCCCTGTGGATGGTTTATGCTGAAAACTGACCTAGCCTCAAAGTCCTGCGGGAGATCCTGTCTTTTGAAGGCATGTTACTGCGGGAAGAAAATCCCAGGCCCACGCACGTAGCCCAGGCTGGCTTCAAATTTTCTCCATAGCTTAGGCTGGCCCTGAGCCATTAATTTGTTTGTGCATGTGTGTGTGTTTATTTGTTAAAGTGTCTGCGTGTGACGAGTGTGTATGAGTGCAGACGCACATGGGCCAAGGCACATACATGTGTGGAGACCAGAGGGCGATTTCCAGCAGTCGGTTCTCCTCTCCATAGTTGGTTCCAGAGATCAAACTCAGCTCATTGGCTTGAGCAATTAGTGCTTTAAAAAATTATGTTTTATGTGTATGGGTGTCTTTGGCCTGCATGTAGGTACACCATGCATGCAATGTGGAACCCAAAGAGGCCATCAAATCCTCTGGAACTAGAGTTACAGATGGTTATGAGTCGCCACGTGGGTCCTGGGAATGGAACCTGGGTTGTCAACCAGCACTGGTAACCACTGAGCCACCCCTCCAGCTCCAGGGTCTTCAACTCTTGCTCCTCTTTCCCCCACCTTCCAGAGGTGGGTTACAGATGTGCACCGCCACGCCGGGCACCTGCCAATCACTTCTGCGTGTGCTCCTAGTTTTTAAGCCTGCTGCATTCATCGTCTTATTCCTCACTCGCTCCAATGACCCTGGGTTCACCGCACGTTGCACGTGAGTCTCTATGCTTCTCTGTGAAGGGCTGACTTCTATACAGTGACGTCAGCAGAAACTAGGTTTTCCTTCCGCCACAGCTCCCACTTAGTACTCTTCCCCACGCTGGGGCTTCCAAACTCGTAACCTCAGCTACAATCCCGCAGCCAAGCTTTGTAACCTCAGCTACAATCCTGTAGCCAAGCTTCCTACACCTGCATGGAAAGGTTCTGGGTTCCCAACAACTGCTCGGTGCTGGACAACTGGGTTGATCCGGTACGTCCCTGATGCACCCTCATCTCTTCTGTGTCTAGAAGCAAACGGTTTACAGCAGAGGTCCAAGGTTGGAAGGGACTAGTGTTCTCATGTTTACAGGGCTATTTGATGTGAAGAAAAAAAAAAAAGACGCAAACCAAGTTCCTCATCAGGTCCCAGGGTCTGACCGAGTAAATATTAAGTGGTGCCCAAGATGGTCTTCACTGAAAAGACCAGTTCAAGTCATAAACCTATCAAGCGATGCAGACTTAAGATGTGAATAGACCAAGAAGACAGATGACTGATGGGACTTCGAAAGAAGCCGCTGACACACAGTGCATGTCTCTGGAGAAACTGCATGCTGTGCAGCATGGCCCTTGTGGGTTGCTCCCTGGAGCCAAGCCTGGGCTGGAGAGACTGGCTCGGCTGAGGTGGGGTTCATGAGAAGTGATCAGGGAAACCACTGAGCCGGACGCCCTGCTCAAAGACATGGCCTCTCCTAACACAGGGACCTGGCTGGCGGGGCCACCTGTCTGACAGCTTACCTCGGTCCCCGAGCCTGGCAGGAAGTTCTTGACGACGATGGTTTTGCCCAGGGCTGGGAAAGGGGCTTCCATGACACTCCTCATGAGGGGCTGCACCAGAGCAGGGGAGATGCCTCTTCTCTTTTCCACCTCGTCCAAGATCTGCAAGAATCGGAAAAGCAGCTCAGCTCTGCTATAGCGGGCCCGCCACAGTGACTCAGGCACTTGGGGGACGGAGGGGAGGGGGCTCACGTGGCCCCGTTTGCTCCTGACTATGCAACACTGGCCCCAATACTTTTCTCCTGCGTGTCCCTTTATCATGTGACTCTGTAGCTCATATGACTTACTAATAGGGAAACCATAGTTTCTTCTTTGTCTTTGGTATGTGACTTACTGGGCTACCCCCAGCCAAGGGCTTTTGTGTGTACTAGGGACTGAGTTACAACGCTGATCCACAACCCTCACTCCCTTCCTTTGTCTGTGCCTGTCTCTGTGGTAGTTTCCATGTATTTGGCTCTTAGGGAGTGGCACTACAAGAGGTGTGGCCTTGTTGGAGGAGGTGTGGTCTTGTTGGAGGAGGTGTGGCCTTGTTGGAGGAGGTGTGGTCTTGTTGGAGGAGGTGTGGCCTTGTTGGAGGAGGCTGCTTGACACAAACCTTTAACCCAGACCTTGAGGCTGGAGGGCACACCTGTAATCTGGGCCACACCTTCTGTTCAGGAAGTGTGTCACTGTGGGGGTGCTCAGAACTTCCTGTTGCCTGCAAGATGTAGGACTCTCAGCCCCAGCGCGGCCAGGCTCCCCTTCATGATCATAACGGACTGTACCTCTGAAACTGCAAGCCACCCTCGATTAAATGTTTTCTTTGTAAGAGTTGCCGTGGTCATGGGGTGTCTCCTCACAGCAAGAGAAATGCTAACCAAGACAGTCTCTGTCTCTCCTTCAGGACACAGTTCTTTAAATCCTCTTCCTTGACAGGGTTCTCTCTCTCTCTCTCTCTCTCTCTCTCTCTCTCTCTCTCTATATATATATATATATATATATATATATATATATATATATATATATAGTCCTGGATGACCTTGAAGCAGCAATCCTCCTGTCTCGGCGTCTCCAGAGCTGGAGTTATGGGAGTGAGCCACCTTGGCCACACCCTTCATCACCTCTCAACTCTTGAACCAATGATAAGCGAAATAACAAGACTGGAAGCCAGCAGGAGAGGGGCGCTGTTTCCTGGGTCCCCCTGGGACCTGTCTCCTCCCCTCTCTCTGCAAGTTCTCACCTTTGAAAAGAGGCTGAAGCATCCCAGACGGCTCACGATGCAGTAAACTTCAGGAAGCCGCTTCCCTTTGCCTCCAGGCTTTTTGGGAGAGAAACATAAGGACATCATGAGAGTCACCATCAGCCCAGGAGCGGTCATGTGAGGTCACCCCACTTTACCACGCCGAAGTCTGTTAAAATCCTCCACACAGCCTTGCTTTAAAAATACCTGCTGCATTTATTTGCGTGGGCATGTACGTGCAAGCACGGCTCTCCCGTGAGGGTCAGACACACCATGCAGCTCAGTTCTCTCTTTTCTAAGACAGAGTCACATACCCCGGAGCTGGAGTTAGGAGTGGCTGTGAGCCACCAGGTGCATTCTGGGAACCAGATCCTAGTTCTTTGCAAAAGCAACAAGTGCTCTAAGGCACCCAGCCAGCTCTTCAGGCCCAGTCTTAAGAATTCTTTTTTAAAAAAACGTACATTGGAATCTTGCCTGCAGTGGATGCCAGATCTGCTGGAACTGGAGTTACAGACAGTTGTGAGCTGCCATGTGGGTGCTGGGAATTGAACCAGGATCCTTTGGAAGAGTGGCCAGGGCTCTTAACCGCTGAGCTATCTCTCCAGCCCTGAACCTTCTCTTCCTAGTAACTATTCTGAATGTCCTTACTCAGCAACCAGGGTCTGCTTAGCAATGCTTTACTACAAAGGAGATTTGGCTTAAGGAGAGAACAGTCTTTAATTTGGTAGGGAAAATCAATGAAACATTTTCCTTCCTTCCTTCCCTCCCTCCCTCTCTTTGCTTCTTTCTCTGTCTAACAGCTCTGGCCATCCTGGAACTCACTCTCGAGTTTGAGGCTAGCCTTGAACTCACAGAGATCTGCCTGCCTCTGCCTCCCAAATCTTAAGACCAAAGGTGTAAGCTGCCAAGCCAGCAATGAAGCCTTTTCTTATTGATGGAAATAGAGACATCACCTCTACCTAGGAAGAAAACTTAGAGTCTTCAAACCCCAGCCCCTAAGTGTGTGTGTGGTGCATGTGTGTGTATGCACGCGTGTGTTTGCATGAGTGTGGTGTAGGTGTGTGGTGCACGTGTGTGTGCGTGAGTGTGTGTGGTGTACATGTGTGTATGCACGCGTGTGTTTGCATGAGTGTGGTGCAGGTGTATGGTGCACTTGTGTGTGTGCGTGTGTGGTGCATGTGTGCACGCGCGTATGTGTAGTGTGTGGTGCATGTGTGTACGCGTATGCGTGTGCATGTGCGTGTGTGTGGTGCACGTGTGTGTGAGCATGTGGTGCATGTGCGTGTGTGTGGTGCACGTGTGTTACATGATTTCAGACAAGCTGGTCTTGCTCACCTCTTCCTTTGCTACTTGGGTGACAGGTGTGACAGGTGTACATTACCAGGGCCACCGCTACCTATCTTCTTGCTCCTTGGTAACCTGCCACCGCCTGCTCCTCCAGCAGGGTAGGGGAACCTGAGTCTCAAGGGGTTGGTGCTCCAGGAAGCTGGGCCGAGGGAAAGGCAGCGAGTACTAACCAGCAGTCTCCGGCAATAACCGAACCTTCTGCTCCCGTCTTCTCCAGTTAAGACAAATGAGAACGTTTCGCTGCGGTTGTGAAGACACAAACAGGTTACAAAGCGCGACAAGCCCCAAGGCACATCCCCACCGCAGCAGGGAGCGGCTGCCAGAAGTTCTCATTGTCCATCCTTTTGTCAAGTCACCCAAGTAGACGTCAAGGGGGCAGAGTGAAAATGTCCCGAGAGAGTGGTCCATAACTCTGTCACCCACGCTATCCTAGGGCACAGACAATCAATTACTCACTACTGTGACTGCAGGGTAGGAAGAGGGATGTGTGTCTGTCTCTTCATTAGTGGAAGGTGAGGGTGGGACTTAGGAGATGTGGTTCTCTCACAGAAATGCTCTTACACAGCAGCCTTGAGGCTTGCTTTCAAAACTGCAGGTCAACTTCACAGGTCGCAGCGTCCCTCACGCACTCAGCATCTATGAGCCTACTGAGGTGGGCCAAATGTTGACCGCTAACACCATGCATGCTCTAAAGCAGAAATGTGAACAGATCACGATCGGAGTAGCAGCTAGAGAGGCCGCTGGAATGCTTCCCCATCCCGCGCGGGTGATGGACAGTGGGCCGGTTCCCTAACTTTTCCCAGATTAGGATCATGTTTGGAAGGTTTCTGAAACACACAGACCTCTAGACTGTGTGGAGGCTTCATAAATGCCCTCTTAGAAGGTGTCTCTTGCCTCAGGGAATCTTTAAGAACTCGCAGGGAAAACTAGGCTGGTGCCCATCAGGCTGGCTTAACTCCTAAGTCACAGGCTCTGCTGCCTAAAACCTCCTCACCTCCCCCATCCAACTCTCCAACTGCAGATCTGGGGAGAGGGGCGTTGTCGGAGGCTCTTACCTGCTAAACTCCTGGACCGGAGCCCAGTCCTTGGCATCAGGGAAGCAGAACTGCGGAATAGCCTTCAGTTGGTCCTCAGCCTCTCTCATGAACTTGAATGACTTTTCCAACTGCAAAGAGAAGGAGAGGGTCACAGGCTGAACCCTGATAAGGGAGAAAGAGATAAAGGATCCCTGTCCCTTCTCGGGCTGTGACTACCCGCTCATGCTCCCGGGGAAGGGTTTGGAGCATCTGTGGGCTGTTTTCCCCAAGACGATGTAACTGTAGTATGAGAGCGCAATCAGAATGATCACATGCTTCAGAGAGACATTAGTCTCTGGAATGTATACAGCGCTTCTGCTCAGCAAGGAAGAGCCGCCACGGCAACCCCTGCCAAAGGCGGCTCCCGGAAATGGGAGGCAGCCCTGTTCATCAGCCGTTCTGACCTCCAAGTGCGCTAACACTCACAGTGACTACAGAGAGCGTGACCATATTACACAGTGAGACCAGCTAGCCCCACGGGGCCACTGAATGTGGAAGCTGGACACAGCGAGGCTCGTCCTCGTTTCAGACAGAAGGAGGCATGCCCCAGGATGGCAAGTGATTGGTCCTGGGCCATCCAGTGAGTTTAGAAGGGAAGCAATCCTGACAGTTTGCTCTCTGTCTCCAGCGCTCAGGACAGAACTCAGGCAGTACAGACGGGAAGGATGAGGATGAATCAAATTCTGATTTGGCGATTACATTTAGTATCATGAAGACTGGGCGTGGTCGTGCATACACATAACCTCAGCAACTTTGCTACATAGCGAGTTCAAGGCTGACCTGGCTCTGTGAGACTCTACGTCAAAATAAACTTAAAAAAGATGTAAAGTGATGAGTTTGCTCATTTTATAGATTTTTTTTGTTTTTGTTTTTCAAGACAGGGTTTCTCCGTAGCTTTGGAGGCTGTTCTGGAACTCACTCTATAGACCAGGAGAACTCACAGAGATCCTTCTAACTACCTCCTAGAAAAGGGCTTGCAGTGGAGGTCTGAGTCCAAAGGCTGAGGCTAGAGACGGCGAGCATTCAGCAATCACTCAGCGGATCAGTTCACGGTTTAAAGCCTCTGTTCCCGGAGCGCCAACTCAGGGTTACCGTGTACACAGCAATGCTCTGGGCACTGAAGGCGGTGCTGAATGACAAGACAGGCCTTCGTGCCTGTGTGCCCACTGGGGCCCTCAACCGGGAGAGACCCCAAGATGCACACACTCATGCAGTGGGGTTTTCAGGGCAGTAAAGGTGTGGCAGTTTGAAGGAAGACGGGGAGGTGCCTGTGGCTACTTCAAGGGCCACTGTGCTACCCCACCCTGAGAGAGGGCTGGCTGGGAAAGGACACAGCAGACAGATGTGCAGAGCTCAGGCCTTGGAAGGGTCCTGCACGAGGTGGTTCACAGAAGCCCAACACGAATCAAGGTGAGCGCCCCCTTTCCTGGGACCCTGGTCTGTGTGACTGTCGTGGCCTACCTCCCTATGGCTTCTGTGCACGTATATACTCTTTGAGCATACTTCTGGTATACCTTCCTACAGGGCAGGAAACCTGTTTTATTTATCTTTATAATCACTCGGGGCCAAGCAGAAATGACTTGAATGTCTAAATGTAAATTCCGTTTGGACTGAATTAGAACACAGTGACACTTTAATGCAGATTAAAAGCCTAAGAGTCACTTCTGCGTCACTGCAGGCTTTAATAAGAGCCCTTCATTTTAGGACTCTTATGTATACAGTGTTCTGCCTGGGTGTATTCCTGCAGGCCAGGAGAGGGCACCAGATCTCATTACGGATGGCTGTGAGCCACCATGTGGTTGCTGAGAATTGAACTCAGGGCCTGGGGAAGAGCAGTCAGTGTTTCTAACCGCTGAGCCATCTCTCCAGCCTGTGAGAGGTTTTTGTTGTTGTTTTTTTTTTTTTGGTTTTTCGAGACAGGGTTTCTCTGTGGCTTTGGAGGCTGTCCTGGAACTCACTCTGTAGACCAGGCTGGCCTCAAACTCACAGAGATCCGCCTGCCTCTGCCTCCTGAGTGCTGGGATTAAAGGCGTGCGCCACCAACACCCGGCTTGTTGTTGTTTTAAGACCGGGTATCCTGTATCCCAGGCCTGCCTAGAACTCACTATGCACCCTAGAAGATGACCTTGAACTTCTGGTCCCTTTTCTCTACCTCGCAAGTGCCAGGATCACAGGTGTGCACTTCCCCTGATGCACTTATGTGGGGTTGGGGATCATCTCAGGGCTTCATGAAACTCTAGCACTCTAACAGCTAAGCTGTGTCCCCAGTCCCTGGAAGAAGTCGATTTTGTTTGTTTGTCTGTTTTGTTTTAAGACAGGGTTTTACTATGTAGCCCTGGCTGTCCTGGAACTCTCTGTGTAGACCAGATTGGCCTCCAACACACAGAGATCCACCTACTTCTGCTTCTACCCCTTGAGTGCTGGGCTTAAAGGCTACGCCACCATACCTGGGAGTATCCTTGCCTTTTTTTTTCTTTTGCCAGTTTTTGCATTCTTTAATCTGTCTTCATGGAGCCCACTATGTTTTCCAGTATAGGTTTTTTAAAAAGATTTATTTACTATGTATACAGTATTTTGCCTGCATGCATGTTTATACCAGAAGAGGGTGCCAGATCTCATTACGGATGGTTGTGAGCCACCATGTGGTTGCTGGGAATTGAACCTGGGTCCTCTGGAGGAGCAGTCAGTGCCCTTAACCTCTGAGCCATCTCTCCGGCCCCCCCTTTCTTTTGTTTTGTTTTGTTTTGTTGCTGTTTTGTTTTTTTCATGTGCTTTAGGCCTCACTTTGAAAGTTCTAGACCTTAAGTCTTTCCCAGACTGCCTCACCTCCCTGAATCCAAGGTAACAGCCAGACTGTGGCAGTCCCCGGGCCACCCGTGGAGCCCTGTCTGCCCTACCTTCAGAGGAAACTGCTGGGTGAGTTCTGGCACATAGGCAGCCCCTGCCTGCTTCTTGTGCAGAGACACGACCACAAAGTACTCGAAGAGTTGCCTCTCCTGGTACTCGATGAGATCCCGGTCCAGCGATGAGTACCGAGGGGCCTGCTTGAGGCGTGACTTCACATTGACCAGGCGCCGGCTGTGAGCTGCAGGGGGTGGGGGGAGAAGCCACAGACCTGGTGTGACCCATTTGCCAATGTGGAATTTGCTCGGTGCCTGACACATTGTGTAATTTCTAGCTTCAGTACTTTTTCTAATTCTCCCCCCCTTCCCCCAGGCTTTGCGATCTGGAAAGTCAGTGGGAAATCCTTTCCTCGGGCCTCTGGCCAAACTCGAGGAAGGGGCAAGTGTCACTTGCAATGCACAGGCCAGGGGCTCAGGACTGGCAAGGGCTTTGCCATTAAGCCTCAAGTGGGAAGTTCCACAAGGCTTCGCCTCCATCCGCCTTTGGGGCGGAGACTTATACATTTCCCCTTGCGCTCTTCCATCGTCTTTCAGTTTGGGTGAGCGCGGAGCTTTTAAAGCTGAGAGCTTTGGGAACATCCCATGTGACCCAATGGCAGAGACCCAGCTACCTTAAGAACTGATTTCCACCTCTGCCCCAGCCAGTTCTCTGCAGTGGGGACAGACTTGCTTATTGTGGGGGGTGGCGTCAGAGGTAATTTAGGTGGAGCCACTAGGTGGACGAGTCTTGTCACCCTCATCAGCACCCGCCACCCTCTCTGTTCCCCAGGGAGTCTGAGACATCTCAGAACACTCACTCAGGCTTGGACCTGGACCACTGAATTGATTCCCCAGGGACCAACCGTTTCTTACTGATTTCCTCTGGTAAGCAGGGAACCAGAGGCTCCGAGGGCTTGAGAGATTACCTGCCACACTCACAGCCACTACCAAGGGTGATGCCCGGGCAGGCTCAGAGCCTCGGGGCAATGGTCACACCTCGGTCCCCGCCTGGCCCACCCACCTCTGCTCGCTCGCACTTCAGGTCCTGCGGTCCTCCCGGACGCTCGTGCCTGAACAGGCTATGTCCGTCCCTCCCGCGCCCTTCTCCCCTCCTCACCTTTCAGCTTCTCCTCAGTGTCGCTGTCGGACTCGCTGTTCTCATCTGTCACTGGACCAAAAGAGCAAGGCAGGAAGAGGCAGATGTGAGTGCCAGCGCAGGACACGGACCCCAAACTTCTGGGCCGCAGGGGGTGCTCTGCTAACTGTGTAAGCACGTCCAGTCTGTCAATTTCCCAAATTCTGCTGCATTTGATGCGTCAGCAAACCGATCTGACTCTGGGAGAGGTGACCCCTCTAGCAGACCTCAGCAAGAAGAGGCGGGAGCCCTAGCTATAGCTGAGTGGGGTGTGTGTGTGTGTGTGTGTGTGTGTGTGTGTGTGTAGGCGGCTGCCAGGGTCAGGTGACACGCGGCCCTCAGCTGAAGCACGCAGCACTGTCCCAGGGGAAGGGCAGATGCGGCCACTTGCTTCCTCCTCAGCGAACCGTGCCTTCAGTGTCGTGAGGACAGCCCTGCAGGGTGGGGCAGAGGCATCTACCTTTCCCTGAGTTGCTCTCCGTCGACTGGGATAGCCTCTTCACACGTTTCTTTCCTCTCCGGGCCTCGTAGATGGCATTGATCCGCAACACCAGCTGCCAGATGGCAGAAGAGAAGCCAGCGTTAACCCCCTCCCTGCTGCGCATGGCTGTCCGGGGCTGACAGAGCCCAGGGAAATGGGGAGGGGCACACTTTCCCCTGCCTCGCCTGCCCTCTGATCATTGTGACCACACTGAAGGAGGCTGTCCTCACTGTCCCATGAGCAGCCAGGGTCTAAACAGTCGCGGACCCAGCTGAGACACTTGGGAGGCTGGGGGGAGGGACACACAATTTCCCGGCTCACAGTGTCACCCAGCTCTCCCCCTGACGCTTTTTTTGGAGGCTGTCGGTCCAGCCTGGCCTCGAACTCACAGAGATCCGCCTGCCTCTGCCTCCCGAGAGCTGGGATTAAAGGCGGGTGCCACCACTGCCTGGCGAAATACTCAGTTTGTTTTTCTACCATACTTTTAATTTTCTGGCCCCCTCTACATCTTGGTCCCAGCAGGCCGTTTCTTTGGCCTCTTTCATCCAATGCGCTGCTCATCTACAAGATGAGGGTCAGGCTGTCTCAAGAGTCTCTTGTCTTTAACTCTCTAGGCTTCCATGACTGAGAGTTTCAGCTGTCCTCAGATGTCCTCCACCCAACGGGCGCCGTTACTAAAAGGCACCTTCAGCGGAGCCCCAGAGGCCACGCTCGACCTTTCCTTTCCACAGGGCGGCCTCCAAGCTAACCCGGGTGCGAGAAGGACGGGGAAATCTGCCACGCACAGCTGAGGCATGTCAAATAGCAGGGGAGGGTGGGGTCTGGGGCTACAGAGTCGGCTCAGTGGTCGAGGCTGTTGGCTGCCCTCACAGAGGATCCATGTTCGGTTCCCAGCACGAATCTGTCGGCTCACAGCCAGCGGTGACTCTAGTCCTATGGGATCTGATGCCTTCTTTTGGCCTCTGCAGACATGGGGTACACGTTACACACAGGCAAAACACCCCTACACATAAAATAATAGATAGCTATATGTTTAAAAGACCTTTTTTTATACACTGGGAAGAATAGGAACAGCATAGGTCTTGGTGTGTGAGTGTGAGAGAGAGAGAGGCAGAGAGACAGAGAGCGAGAGAGAGAGCCAGAGAGAGAGAGAGAGAGAGAGAGAGAGAGAACCAGGGAGCAAGAGAGAGACAGAGAGAGAGAGGCAGAGAGACAGAGAGCAAGAGAGAGAGAGCCAGAGAGAGAGAGCCAGAGAGAGAGAGAGAGAGAGAGCACAGCTATTAGGCCTCTATCCAATCACCCTGACCAGCTCTCTTGAATGGATACCAGCTCCAGTTGTAAGCCAGACACTGAGTAACTTAGCAAGACCCTGTCTCAAAAAAAAAAAAAAAGTTGGGGAAAAAAACAGTTGGGGATATATTTCAATGGTAGGGTGCTTTCCTAGACAAGTGTGAAACTCCCCTCTCTCCCTCCCTCTCTCTCTCTCTCTCTCTCTCTCTCTCTCTCTCTCTCTCTCTCTCTCTCTCTCACACACACACACACTCACAGAGGCAGGAAAAGACTGGAACCAAAAGGCTAGCTAAGCAGACAGGGAGAGGAACAGCCTAGGGGAAGAACACAGAACCGCAATAATAACTGAGAAGACGACCCACATTATCCTAGTCCGCTGGCTTCTCTGTGTCCCTCGTTCCACAGTGAGGCAGGAAGCAGAGGCCCTCATACTATCTCTCCTCAACTTCCTCTACAGAGAGAGCAGTGGGGGGGGGGGGTGTTTCCCAGACCTCAAACCCTGGAGGTCATGTGTTACCCTGGGGATCATTTTCTTCTTCCTGCCATTCTGCAGGTCTCCGAGGTTAAAGAAAGTGTCATCCGGGCTGCTGGGCGTAGAAGGAGGGCTGGCCCTCACAGGGGACCCAGTCGCATCCCGGCTCAGCTTCCTGGTGTCCAGCAGTTTGAAGCTTCTTCTTTCCGAATTTTGCCGGAAAAATGCAGACTTGGACAAGGCCTGCTGTGTGAGAAAGGAGAGAGGCATAAGTCCAGATAGAGGGGCCACGGTGGGAGGTTCCAGGGCGGAGACAGGGAACTAACTGAGCAGGCTGGGCTGGGCTCCCAGGGTGCCTGGGGTTTGCTACATTAACCATGCTGTGCTACCATTCAGTTGTAGGAAATTTATGTGACAAAGGATGTAAATCTAATCCTCTCTCTCTCTCCCCCTCTCTCTCTCTCTCTCTCTCTCTCTCTCTCTCTCTCTCTCTCTCTCTCTCTCTCTCTCTCTCTCTCTCTCTCCCCCCCTCTCTCTCCCCCCTCTCTCTCTCTCTCTCTCTCTCTCTCTCTCTCTCTCTCTCTCTCTCTCTCTCTCTCTCTCTCTCTCTCTCTCTCTCCTCTCTCTCCCTCTCCCTCTCCCTCTCTCTCTCTCTCTCTCTCTCTCTCTCTCTCGTGGTTTTCCGAGACAAGGTTTCTCTGTATTGTTTTGGAGCCTGTCCTGGAACTTGCGCTGTAGACCAGGTTGGTCTCAAACTCACCGAGATCCACCTGCCTCTGCCTCTCGAGTGCTGGGATTAAAGGCGTGAGTCACCAACGCCCGGGCTCTAATCCAATCTCTTTCAGACAGGTAGGAAGCCACCTGCCTCCCTGGCTTTACAGATGAGGCTGGATGATAAAAGTAAACTTTTTTATTTGTAGTATTGGCATTGAGTCTAGGGTCTTACACAGACAGGCTCTCTACTAACAAGCTAGAGCCCTATTCCAGGATTTTATTTCTAAACAAGCCTCTTTCAAATCAAAAGGTAAATAAAGAACTTATTTAAAAGTTTACCAGCCGGGGCGTTGGTGGCGCACCCCTTTAATCCCAGCACTCGGGAGGCAGAGGCAGGTGGATGTCGGTGAGTTTGAGACCAGCATGGTCTACAAAGAGAGTTTCAGGACAACCTCCAAAACAATACAGAGAAACCCTGTCTCGAGAAACAAACAAACAAAAAAAAGTTTACCAACCAACAGGGGATGTAGCTTAGAGGACTTGCCCAGCATGTGCAAGACACCAAGTTTGATCTCTAGTACCCCCCAAAATAAAAATAATGAACTTTACTTTTGGCATGGTTGTGTGGGCTGTGGTTCTAGATCTTGGGAGGACCAGATGTACAAGGTGCTTGAGACTCTATCTCAAAAAAACGAAATTTACAGTTCATAACCCCAAAGAGGGTCCACTCTCCTGATAAATACTACAAGTTGATGAGTACAAGCCCACTCAAACCAACAGAAAACAAAAGATAAGAATGTTCACAAAGTAGGAGTGTAAAAATCTTAGCTTTCTCCAAAAAGAAAAGCGAATTCAAACTCCACCATGGAAACATTTTTTCCCCCTACTGGAAAACTATAGAACGTAAAAATACTTGCTAATCACTTTTTGGTGAGAAGGTGAGGGGAAGTGTTTTCCGTGCACCACTGGTGAGAGTCGAAGCCAGCAAACTGCACGGGGGTGAGTTAGACAAGCCTAAGGAAATGACAATGGACGTGACCTCTGACCCAGCCCACCCTAGGAACTCCCCTCACCGATAGATACACTCATATCTGGCTAACATTACATTGTACAAGGAGAGTTACGCTCTGCATGGCACATAATCACAAAACACTGCAGACAACCTAAATGCTCGTTGACAGAGGTGGAGCAAACCAATTATGAAGTATCCAGACGGGGGATAGTATGCAACTGTTAAGAACGAAACTTAGCACATTGATATAAAGGTTCTTTTCACATACATGTTATTATTTTTTGTTTGTTTGGTTGGTTTTTGGTTTTTCTAGGCAGGGTTTCTCTGTGGCTTTCTCTGTGTCCTGGAACTCGCTCTTGTAGACCAGGCTGGTCTCAAACTCACAGAGATCCGCCTGCCTCTGCCTCCCGAGCGCTGGGATTAAAGGTGTGTGCCACCACAGCCCGGCTATTTTTAAGAATCTACTGATTTTCAAAGGGACTCTAGCCAGCCGCAGCCAGCATGGCGGACATGGCTACGGCAGGCCCTGCCCTTCTCTCCCGTTCCCTCCGCCTCACTCAGAGCTGCTAGATTACACTCCTAAAGCTGGCCATCAAGGTCTACTTCCTTACTTGACGGCTTCCCCGTCCTGAGGCTGACGACCAGGCTCCAGCCATCAAAGTACTGAAGTCCAGCAGTCAAAATCCCCTTTGGATCACCTACTTCGCATGTCCAGTTAAGATCAAACAGCTCATCCTAACATGGGGTTTCCCCTTGTACCTTTATAAACTGCCATTTGCCTACGGGCCACATCCATCTCCTCTATCCAGAGGCGGTCCCTTGTCCCACTCTGGGGCAAATACCCCTTTCCCTTCTCTCTTGTTCCCTTCGCCTTCTCCCTGGTCCTACATCTTCTGTCTTTTCCCCTTATCCCTGCCCTCTGGGGCAAATTAATCTCCTTTGTGCTGAGACCGTGGTCTTGGGGGTCCTGAGCTGACATAGATCCTTTCAATGTTTACGTGTACAGGTGTTTTGTCTGAATGTTTGTGCATCATGCACATGCCTAGTACCAGCAGAGGCCGGAAGAGGGTGTAGGGTCCCTTGGAGCTGGAGTTACAGACAGCTGTGAGCTGCCACGTGGGTGCTGGAGCTTGAACCCGGGTCCTCTGGGAGAGCAGCCAGTGCTCGTATCTGCTGAGCTACCTCTCATGTTATAATTTTTAACAACTATTTACTGTAAATGCACATCACTCATGCACGCAGAGGCCAGATTTTCAGGACTCAGTTCTCTCCTTGCTTTTGAGGCTGGGTCTTTCTTGTTTCTGCCCCTGCGTTGCACACGCAGAAATCCTGATGGTCCTCGGGTCTCTGCCTCTCATCTAATCATAAGAGGGCTGGGGCACAGATGCTCACCACCACATCTGGCATCTCAGAATTACCCACTTGTCTACTACTGAGCATGTGAGCACAGGGTGTGCATGTGGACGAGCATGTGAGCACAGGATGTGCATGTGGACGCATGTGCTGCCGCACACATGAAAACACCAGAGGAACAGCTTCCGGCTCGTTCCCTCCCTCCAAGCGTTACAGCTTTACCTGGTTTCTGGGGGACCAAACTCAGCTCGTCAGGCACGTGCAGCAAGCGTTTTCACCCACTGAGCCATCTTGCTGGCCCATAGGGGCTGGAGAGATGGCTCAGCAGTTAAGAGCACTGGCTGCTCTTCCAGAGGACCTGAGTTCAATTCCTAGCAACCACGTGGTAGCTCAGCAACCACCTGTAATGAGATGTAGTATCTTTTGTTCTGCAGGCATACATGCAGGCAGAACACTGTATACATAATAAATAAATCTAAAAAATAAAAGCAAGGCACGGCACGCTGACTCTGTGTGTTTGAAGACGGCAGCATCCGGCACAGTGCCTGACACTCAGTGGGCATTCACTGTCCTTGGCCCTCCTTCCTGTCGGTGCTCGTATTTTCCCTACCTAATGTGTGTTGTTGATGCTATGCTGGCTGCCTTTTTCCCTTTGGGGGCCGTTTTGTTTTTCTGACTATCTTGGTGTCTGTCAGTTTTCTCTAAGTGCCCTTTGCCAAGCGGCTCCTCCGTATTCACACTTTCATCTCGGGGAATAAGATGTTTGCACAACTGTTTTGCTTTTATGGTACTGGGGGGGGGCACACGGAGGATCTGGAGTACACGAGGCTGTTCCACTGAGCTATCCAACCCCAGACCTTTGTCACTTTTCCAGACCTTTGTCACTTTTTCTAGACTAAAATATGTTCATGTTTTCCCCTGTCGTTCATCTAACCACTTGTCTGTCAGGTTTGCTTTTTTTGACTGTTTGTTTTCTAGACAGGGTTTCTCTGTGTAGTTTTGGAGCCTGTATTGGAACTCACTCCCCGTAGACCAGGCTGGCCTTGAACTCACAGGGATTCGCCTGCCTCTGCCCCCCTCTCAAGTGCTGGGATCAAAGGTGTTCGCCACCACTACCTGGCTTTGCTTGTTTGTTTGTTTTTGAGACAGGGTTTCTCTGTGGCTCTGGAGGCTGTCCTGGAACTCGACCAGGCTGGCTTCGAACTCACAGAGATCCACCTGCCTCTGCCTCCCGAGCGCTGTGATTAAAGGCATGCGCCACCACCCGCCAGACTCTGTTTTGTTTTTGTAATAAATATTATGTAGTTACTTATTTATTTTATGTGTATGGGTATTTTGCCTGCATATATGTATGTATATCACATGTGTACCTTGTGTCCAAGACCAGAAGAGGGTGTCAGATCCCCTGGAACAGGCTAGAGTTACATGTGGTTGTGAGCCACCATGCGGGTGTTGGGAAGAGGAGCAGCTAGTGCTCTTAACCACTGAACCATCTCTCCAGCCCCTTCATTCCGGTTCTTAAAAGATTTATTTTCTCATTTTTTTTGTCCCTGCCCTGCCAGTGTCTGATTTATTTTTTAATCAGGTGTGTGCATGTGTGTCTGTGTACACGAGTGTGAGTGATTGCAGAGGCCACAAACATCACGTGCCTTTGGGGCTGGAATTACAGGCCATTGTCAACAGCCTGACATGGGTACTGGGAACCAGACTCCAGTCCTCTGCAAGAGAAGTTAAGTGTGCTTATCCATTAAGTCATCTCTGTAGCCCTCTGATGCCCTCATCCTTTACCTAGACAATCTTTCTCCTGGGCTGGCGAGATACCTCAGCAGCTGCCAACTCTGAGGACCTGAGTTGGATCCCTGGGTCCCACATGGTAGAAGGAGAGAATCAACTCATGCAGGCTCTTCTGACCCCCACGGGCTACTGGGAGAAATAGTACTTGGGTGTATATACATACTATATGCAAATGAATACATGAGAAAAATTCAGAAAAAAAAGAAAATTTATCTCTTGTTAGATGTTTAATAAATACTGGATTCTCTTTTTGTCTGGATTTCCTTGGTTTGTTTTTGAACATAGTTTATTCATTAATCCGTCAGTAATTTATTTCATGGTATGGTAATCTAAATCATTTCCCTCTGAGCTAACTTATCCTTATTCCATTTAATGAACGAGTCTTTCTTTCTCAATTAATTTACAGAGCCATATCTACCGTACCTTAAGCACTCACAGAATAGGCCTAGTTTGTTCCACTGAATTTCCCAGTCTCGCTTAGTTCCAAGTAGGACGTATTTACAACTTCAGAGCCTTTTCTTTTCCAATATTTCCAGGAACAAAAACTCCTATCTGGCCCGTGGCCGGCTCTCCTGTCATCATATATGTCTACGAGAAGCAAGGAGTCGTTCAGCACAGGAAGCTCCCAACAGTAGAGGGCTAAGCGGCTGAGAACAGTATGGGCATCTTTATCACCCTGGCACAGGAACAGGCAGGCTTCTTAGCCTAATTCCACCTGCGATGAAGCCCAAGAAAACGCCCTAATGCTCTTGGCGCTGAAACACACACACACACACACACACACACACACACACACACAACAGCTGGCAATCAGCGGGTATCTGACCCATGAAAAGATCTGAGAAGGGAAGCAAGCAAAACAGGGTACCGGACTCCAGACAGCACGCTAAGGAGCCTGGCAGGAGCCGTGTGCAGGCCGCACCCAGGCCGTCACTGCTGGGGAGAAGGGAGCCGGCGTGTCCTAGAGCACCTGCTTATCTAACTGTCCAGGGAGCTTTGGGGAGGAGTGGGCTTGCAGCGGCTTCCTGTTTGACAGGAGGGAGGACAGCAGACACGGGGGCGAGCCTCTCAAGCATTCAGCACAGCCTGAGGCTGGGTAGGAAGAAGCAAATTTCTGACCAGGAGTCTTTACCCAGGTCGATGAGGCTCCAAGGGGGAAAGGGTACCACAGTCAAGATGCCTGTTGGCTGACGCTTTTGAAAGCAAGGGTGTGAGGCTTAGGCTTAGTAGGAGCCAGTGGAGTTCATCTTCAAAGGCAGGTAGTCTGTACAGCAGGGCGGGCCAGGCCCTCCCCGCTGCAGCTTCTCAGCCATGCCGAGTCCATACGCAGCATCTGTAACGTACCGAGGACTGAGTAGGGCAATACAGCCTTGTCCATAAAAATCTCCTACAACTTCACTCATAAAAACCAGCAACTGGCCGGCCGGTGGTGGCGCATGCCTTTAATCCCAGCACTCAGGAGGCAGAGGCAGGTGGATCTCTGTGAGTTCGAGGCTGGGCTGGACCGATAGCCTCCAAAACAATACAGAGAAACCCTGTCTCGTAAACACAAAAACAAAACAAAACAAACAAACAAACAAAAAAACAGCAACCGGCAAGAGGCTACCCTAACTGTAGCATGAAAGGGCAGCCACTGTCGGGCCTTAAAGGTGGTATTTTCTCAGGCTGCTGTCTAGCAGATTCTGCTGTTAATAGAAGGACCTCACACCAGCCTGCACAGTGACCAATCCGACCCTATCTCCTTTCCAGTGCACTGGACACTGAGGAAAACCTGTAGAGGCTGAGAAGCAGACACGGACGATCTCGGCCTGAAGTCTGACTTCCCCGTGCAAGCCTCGTGGGTTGTTTGCAGGGGGCTGTGACGGGTCCTGGCATGTGACATCTTGACGGGAAGGAGGTGGCAAGAAGCCTCCTCAGAGGGAGAGATCGTGGACTGAAGCCAAGATCATTAGCCCTTTTTAGCTAAACAGGTGCCATAATATTTTAGGAAAACCAAACAAGGAAAAGGACTGCCTCCGGGTAGCACCGTCTTTCTTTCTCTGACGTAAAAACTGGTCCTTGACAGCTGTAGTTTCACACATCTGTATAATCACAACACTCAGGAAGCTGGTGCAGGAGAATTACAGTGTGAGGCCAGCCAGAGCGAGACAGAGTAAGGACCCCCACCGCCCATGCCCCACCCCGTCTGGGAGGTGGCTCTGTGGATAAAATGCTTGCTGTGCAGGTTTGAGGACTGCAGTTCAGACCCCGGCACCCCCACACACAGCTGGGCAGGTGTGACGGCACCGTCCGGAAGCCTGGAGCCCAGGAGGCAGTGACGGGATTTCCTGAGCAAGCCGGCTAGCCAGAGTGGCATAGCTCCAGACACAGGAAGACTCTCACCCACTCACTGAAGTGGAGAATGGCTGAAGAAGACCTTTCCACGCACGTGTGCAGTGCACATATGTAGTACACCCACGCACCCCCACACAGGAGAGCATACAAGCATACGCCACACACACTCACACAATTTCTTTTTGAGTTGCTGCCACATTCTGGGTACAGTAGTAGGTAAGGTTATATAACACACACAGACCTCACAGCATCTGCTCCGGCTGCACATCTGCTCTTTTCTAAGGAGACTTTGTCCAGTTGTCCCTCCCTTTCCACTGGGACAGGGCAGGAGCTAATTAAACGAACACCCCGAAGGTGGCTTAGAGCTCTCTGAGACTAGCAGGGGAGTTCAACACAGAGGGGTTGCCTCTGCTACTCCTAACTTCGCAGATGCAGCCCAGATGTGGCAGGATGCTCCGTGAATAGCCGATGAGCTAGACGGGAGGAAGCGGCGGTCTGCAGCTGTCCCTTGGGACAGGGACACAGACCAGACACCCAGACGTGAGAACGGAGTAAAGAACGTCAGATGCAGAGCCCCAGTTTCACTGCATGAGCCCTAAAGCCGGCAGTGTCAGGGGCACTGGCCAGGGCACAGTACTACCCAGGACAACCACGCCCGGACAGAAAGCTTGACTGCCGTCACTGCTACCCTAGTTTGGCCGCTGTGGTGGCCCAGGCTCCAAGGTTTGCCCAGCTTTGTCGGCCCTTGTTTAGTTTTTCTAAAGAAGTGTCTAAATCCTAGACGCATCCATGCTCCAACCGAGAACACAATACGCGCTCCCAAGGCGCTGCTGATCACGCATTCCTCATGACGAGTCTTCTCCGTGTGAAAGTTGGCTGGTTCAGGCAAATGCTGAGGCAGCTCACACGGGCCCGTAAGTCTAACCCCTCACAATAGCTTATGTCCCCGGTTCTTCTAGATCTGAGGCTGGAAGAGTTCCTCCCTAGCTGATACCAGGTGTAGAAAGCACGCCCTGTGAAGACCTACCCCACCTTCCAGCAAATGCTGACTCTGCCCTGGGGGACTACAGGAATACAGTGCATTTCTCGGCTGGAGACAAACCCTGACAATGGAAATATTCTGGACATGTACAAACAGGCACGAGTGTTCAAATACATATATTCTTTACGTTAGGAGATAGTCACTCAGGGATTAAGAGCTATCACAGAGTATGTGGGTTCAGTTCTGAGCACCCACACGAGGGCTCACAAGGCTCACAACCACCTGTAGCTCCAGGGGTCTGATGCCCTCTTATACATAAAAAACATTGTAAGTACTTTTTTTTTTTTAAGATAGGGTCTCATTGTAGGTCTGGATGCCTGGAATTTACTAGGTAGAGCAGGCAGTCCTCAGATTCACAAAAGGTTCACCCGCTTCTGCCTCCTGAGGGCTGGGAATAAAGGTATGTGCCACCACACCTGTCAAATAAAGAAACCTTTTAAAAAGTGTGCACAAGCCGGGTGTTGGTGGCGCACGCCTTTAATCCCAGCACTTGGGAGGCAGAGGCAGGCGGATCTCTGTGAGTTTGAGGCCAGCCTGGTCTACAAGAGCTAGTTCCAAGACAGCCTCCAAAGCCACAGAGAAACCCTGTCTCGAAAAACCAAAAAAAAAAAAAAAAAAAAAAAAAAGATGCCCTTATTTACCTGTTTGTCTATGGCTGTCTTTTCTTAAGCTACTCTACGCTGGAACTTACTACGTCAATAAGACTGGCTCTGAACTTTGAGTACCAATCCTCCTGCCTCTGGTTCCAAGTGTTGGGACCGCAGGTGTGGTCCACTACTCCTGGCTCAGGACCGTTTGAATGAATGCCTTGCTTTTTAGTGACCGACTTAGGGAAGTGTCCTGAGCTAGGGACCCAAGGGTACTTTAGGGAGCTCTGTGGAGAGGGCTGGTTGCAGGAGCCCAGCCCGGCTGCTGGGTAAGGCAGACACAGGTGCACGGGAGGGACTGAGGTACCTTGGTGGGCGTGTCCGGGATGGAGGATGTGGGAGAAGCCGGGAAAGCCAAGACACACTTCGTGCCCAGGCAGCGGCCGTGTAACTCGATGTCCTCATAAGGGTTTTCCTTCATGGGTGGATCTGCGATCAATGGCAGAACAGGTTAGGAGGGTTAGCACTTCGTTTTTCTCTCTCTCTAAAAAAAATTATTTTATGTGAGTGCTGTTTTGCCTACACATATTATCCATGCGCCGTGTGTGCCTGATACCTGAGAAGGCCGGAAGAGGGTGACAAACTGGAACTGGAGTCGCGCATGGTTGTGAGCCTCCGTGTGAGCGAGTGCTGGGAACTGAACCAGGGTCCCTGGCAACAGCGGCCAGTGCTCTTACCTGCTGAGCCATCTCTGGCCCCTGGACTTTTTCTTATGGGACCACTAGGGCCGCCATCTTGGCCTCCTCCTTCATGCTCCCTTGTGGCAGCAGACCCTGGTTTTTCACTAGGTGGCAACTTCCCATCTCCTCACTTGTAGCTGCATCAAATAAACGCTATTCCCAGTCTCTGGGCTTGCTGCTCTGTCTGCCTCTGAGGTGAGTTCAGGAGATCTGACAGCCAGCCCAGGCCTAAGGCAACTACTGAATGTCACTTCTGGCTCCGAAAATGAAAATGGAACATAAGCTGGTCTGGCCAGAGTGACTCCGGACTTTTGCTGGGACTTGCAGGCCCAAGGCTCTGGTTCTACAGAGGAAAGCCTTAGATCCCAGGGAGCTGGGAGCCTGGTGACAGCGGGAAGCCCCACTGGTAACAAAGCCACCCTGGGAGCAGAAAGGAGAAGCCAGTTTGGGTTGCAGATTCCCCCAAACCACCTTTGTTATCTTGTTACAAAGGGGGGAACCCAGCCTGACACTGTGGTTCAAACAGCTCTGCTAGGCCCTCCTGCCTCCCGGGCTTCCTCCTTTCAGGACCATTTCCGGTACTGATGACTGTCTGCGTGCATCTACGCAGCCCTCACGTGGGCTGCCCACTCTCTTCAGCTCTTTCCTGGCTTTAAGGTTATATTGAGCTTTTACTCATGATTCTAAGTTAATGTGTTTATGACAGTTAAAGTGTGATGAGTGAATTTAACATGTCTAAGTTTTATACCATCTTGTACAAGCTATTCCTGTGATACAAAACCAGTTTGTTTTGTTTTGTTTTTCAACTGAGAGGATTCCTATGCAGCACACTTCCCTGGAGGAGGCTCATACCAAGCAAGTTTTGCTTTCTTTTTTATTATTTCCTTCTACATCAGCCTGGTATTTCTCTTTCATTCCTGCCAGTTCTGGGTAAAGCAGCTCTAGTTCTGGGTTTTCTGGGGCAGCAGCGCCTCGGTGATGCTTAAAGATCCAGGGTACGTGTGGATCCTTTGGGGCTTCATGTGAGACTACAACACGTTCGTTAGCATACCCAGAACCCCAACTTCTCCAAGTGCCCCCAGAACTGCTCTGTTGAAAGCCAGGGTCTTTCACAGTCTCACCAGTCCTTAAGCAACCTTGCAAGAGAGCCACCATCAACTTACAGAGACAAAGAACTCAAACACTGAGCCCTTACGTCGCCAGCTGAAGTCACAAAACTAACAACTAGCAGAGCCAAGATTCTGCCCTGGATCCTCAGGTGCAGGCTTCCTGTTTCTTGAATCAATCACTCTGCTGGGGCTCAGCGGTTCATCGTCAGCTGTTCCTCTCTCCTTCCGCCCACCGAGGCCCGCTTTCCCAGCCTGCTTCACTCTCCCAGCATGCCTCACTCTCCCAGCCTGCTTCACTCTCCCAGCATGCCTCACTCTCCCAGCCTGCCTCACTCTCCCAGCCTGCCTCGCTCTCCCAGCATGCCTCACTCTCCCAGCCTGCCCCACTCTCCCAGCCTGCTTCACTCTCCCAGCCTGCCTCGCTCTCCCAGCCTGCCTCGCTCTCCCAGCCTGCCTCACTCTCCCAGCCTGCCCCACTCTCCCAGCCTGCCCCACTCGCAGCCTGCCCCACTCTCCCAGCATGCCCCGCTCTCCCAGCCTGCCCCTCTCTCCCAGCCTGCCTCACTCTCCCAGCATGCCCCGCTCTCCCAGCCTGCCTCTGTCTCCCAGCATGCCCCGCTCTCCCAGCCTGCCCACCCCGCTTTCTCACACATTAACTGCAGATCTGTCTGTCTCCACGTGCACGCTTGTGTGTTCCAAGCAGAAACTCCATTCCAACTCTTTGTCTCGGACAGAATCCACTCGCAGCCCTCCGTGCACGCTTTGGCCTCTTACCTAGGATGTCTTCGTAGACGTTCTCCTCCGATAAAGTGCGTGCGAGTCCCAGCTTGGTCTGTGCATACCAATCCACCCTGCTGCTCTCACAGGAAGACTGCTGTAAGTCTTCAAACTCATAGGACTTTCTGGGTTGGGCACCGGGGGAGGAAACAAAACGCGAACTTGGATCAGTTCAGGCTGGTTCTGAACACAGGAGAGGCCAGAGTGCAAAAGGGGCCAAACCAAAGCTTTCAGGCCGGGGTCGCTGAGCCGTAAGCCAGGGCAAACGCCTGCACTGCAGCAGAAACCCATCCCCAAAGGAGGAGCTATCACTCTGTGAGCCTCTTCTGCTTCCATCCAGGGCTCCTGCAGGCAGGACAGAGGGACCAAGTCCCAGAGCTCCAGCAGATGGTGGGGGGGTCTGGGCTGGGACACAGGTGTGAGCTGTTTTCTCTGGGATGGTGATGTGTACGCTGTACTGACTCTGACCTCTGAAGGCAGATGATGGGGTGAAGGTGTGGTTTGCAGAGTAGAGCCCTAACAACCAAAGATGTTTGCATACTTCAGGGCACGGGTTCCAGTGTCTGGCTCGCTTCTTTACAGTGCATGCAATACAACAGCTAATTTGGATGGTCCTGGGGTTTGCTGGGATGGAATTAACCATTATCCAAATGGCCACTGCTGGACACCCAGACTTTAAGACACACCTTAACTCTGTTGTGGTTTTTTTTTCCTACATTATGGGAGCAAGATGCTAACTTATGAGGCATGCTTTGCGTTTGAAGCCTGACACATAAAAGCTTTTGACAGTCTAAAGAGCATTAAGAAAGACTGCATTTAAGGATCTGAAGTTTCTTTTAAAAAGCTGATTAGGACACAGGCAGTACATGTCTGCAATGCCAGCCCTTGGGAGCTAAGGCAGGAGGATATGATATCAAGTTCTAGATCAGCCAGGTCTACATAACCAGACAAAGCTAGGAGTTGGGTATTGTGGTGCACGTCTTTAATCCCAGCATTCCAGAGGTAGAAGCAGGCAGATTTATGTGAGTTCCAGGCCAGCCTGGTCTTCATAGTGAAGCCAGCCAGAGCTACATAGTAAGATCTTGTCTTAAAAAACAAAAACAAAACAAAAAACCAGAAGTACAACACAATAATAGTAATACTAAACAAATAAGAAAAACAAAACAAAACAAAAAAAAAAAACAAATAAGAATTGGGCATGGTGATTGCCGGGCGGTGGTGGCGCATGCCTTTAATCCCAGCACGCCGAGGCAGAGGCAGGCGGATCTCTGTGAGTTCGAGGCCAGCCTGGTCTACAGAGTGAGTTCCAGGACAGCCTCCAAAGCCACAGAGAAACCCTGTCTCGAAAAACCAAAAAAAAAAAAAAAAAAAGAACTGGGCTTGGTGATTAATGTTTATAACCCAGAACTCTGGGGCGGGAGCAGGAGAAGTCAGTGGACCCAGCTGCGCTTAGGCTACGAAGAGTTGCAGACCAGTCGGGGCTGTCGATCCCGCCTCAAAACAAACAACAGAGGCCTCACATCAAATGACAACAAACATAAATAACAAACAAAAATCAGAGCCCATGAGATGGCGCCTGCCACCAAGCCGGCTAGAGCCTCACCTCGGAAGAAGACGGGGAGTCCTGCAAGCTGTCCCCATTCCGGAGTCACAGTACCCAAGTGCCCGAGTGCCCTTATCTCTCTCTCTCTCTCTCTCTCTCTCTCTCTCTCTCTCTCTCTCTCACACACACACACACACACACACACACACACACACACACACGCTCACACACACACGCTTACTCACACACACACAGAAACAGACGTCATAGAAAAGCAAAACAAACGAAATAAGAAACAAGCAGCCACACTGCCAACCATCCACAGCTTCGTGCAGCTAGGTAAGTGACCTCTCCCTCAGTCCCTGGCTTTTTTTTCTTTCTTTCTTTTCTTTTTCTTCGAGACAGGGTTTCTCTGTGTAGCCCTGTCTGTCCTGGAACTCGCTCTGTTGACCAGGCTGGCCTTGAACTCACAGAGATCCGCCTGCCTCTGCCTCCGGCGTGCTGGGATTAAAGGCGTGCGCCACCAACGCCTGGCTCAATTCAGGGTTCCTAAGTGTAGCCCTGGCTGTCCAGGCTGGAGATCCTCCCGCCTCTGACTTCCAAGTACTGGGATTAGAGGCGTGCACCACGGAACTCGGCTCAGTGCCTGGCTTTTTGAGAGAGGGTCTCTGGCTATGTAGCTGGGGCTGGCCTTTGGGCTTGCCATCCTCCTGCCTCTGCTGCAAAGCTTAACTTGTAAAGTAAGCTACCACAGGGTTTCCTAGTGGCAGTTCCATGTCTGTGTTAAGGTACTGGTTTCCAGGTGACAATGTGTGGAACCTAAAAAGCCACATTGTGAGTCAACACAAAGTAAGATCCACCGAGGAGCAAGGAGGAGTCACACATCTCACAGGAACAGTTCCCATAACTAAGGAAAGGAAAATGGCAATTTTTGCAAGGTCTGGTTTATCACTGGCACCTGTTAGCATCGTGTGTGTGAGATCTGGCTTCCAGGGACATCTGTCCTCTTGCTCTGAGGTTCAGGTGAAGTGAGAAAAACATATCCGCTAAATCTTAACCTGACCTTGGGCTAAAACTGAGGTCAGGCTGACCCTCAGGCATGTACAGTACTTACAGGAACTGTGCTAACCTGTATTGTTCTATTTGAACAACCACAAGGCTTTGTGCTCCCCTGCTAAACAGTGACACTACGGTGACACAATTTCATTCTATCCTTATTAAAGTTCAGATCCTTAGCCAGGTGTGGTGGCACACACCTATAATGGTGGCTTCCATCTTTGATCCCAGCACTCGGGAGGCGGCAACACACTCTGAGGAGAAATTTGCTCGCATGAATGACTGGTCTACTGTGCGGATTCTCTACAAACAACTTTAAACTCGAGAAAGGGGCCTTTCCAAAGGTGACTGACGATAATCACAACCAAACAGGCCTCTATGCCCAGTACTCATGCTGCACACCACCCACAGGTGTGCCAAACACCTTCTGCGGGTCACTCTGTGCCCGGAATCAGTGAGCCAAAGGCAAGGAGCTGCTGCCTTACGATGCTCAAGAATAGGAAGAATCCAACCTCCTCTAAGTTCTTTGCCTTCCAGGCACCTCCAGTGATCACATGACAGCTGGTTTTAGAGATGTGACTCTGATCTCACTGTTGCAGTGAACTCCCTTGCAACTCAGGCTTGGTCCAATTAACTGTGCAGTTGAGGATGGTCTCGAACTTCTGATTCTCTTGCCTCTACCTCCTAAGTGCTGGGATTACTAGTGTACTAGTGTCATGAATATTAGGTAAGCAACCGTGACAAGCCCAGCATGTCGCCCCCCTCCCCAGTGAATTTCCTCTCTTCTTCTTTTCTTTCTTAGTCCCTTCCTTTTCTAGCCCTCTATCCATGGGAGTCTAATCCCAGCACTCAGGAGGCTGAGGCAGGGGATCTTGAGTTTGAGGCCAGCCTGGAATGTATCATGAAATTGCCTCAAAAAACTTTTTATAAAAATGATGACCAAGGGCTGGAGAGATGGCTCAGTGGTTAAGAGCACTGACTGTTCTTCCAGAGGTCCTGAGTTCAATTCCCGGCAACCACTTGGTGGCTCACAATCACCTTGAATGAGATCTGGTGCCCTCCGCTGGCATGCTGGCAGAAGACTATATGCATAATAACTAACTAAATAAATAAATATGATGACCAATGTCCAACTACTGTGTGAGGGTTACTAATAGCTTTTCCATATTCTTGTAAATGAAATGCTAATTTAAGACAGTGGGCAAGAACCCTCAAAATTACCATGTCTCAAGAGGCATTCTCTCCCAGCTGCCCTCTGGAAGGTCACCAGATGTTTGTGCCTGGAGCTTCTACTAGCCACCTACACCTCACCAACTGAAGGGCACTCTTAACTCCCCAGCCTCCTTGGAACCGACCACTTCTTCCGGGGGGGGCGGGGCACTGAAACTACATCACAATGTGACCACAACACCCACTCTGCCGCCAAGGGGAACCCTAACAGATGCAAATCTGATGATTGCTGCCTTCAAAGCTGTCACGTTTCTTCCCGCTGCTCCTCTTGTCTCCGGAGCTCTAGAATTGGTTCCATTAGACCCCACAGTCTCCCCTTCCCTTCCATCCTTGGGGCCCCCCCAATCCCACTGTGGCTAGACCCCATCCCTCAGTTCATCCTCCGCTGCTAGCCTACATGCCCTGTAGGGTGGGGTCTCCGTCAGTCTTGCTCATTAATAATCCCCACATCTAACGCTAAATTTAGTCACAGTTAGCATCTGTTGTCTAAGTGAGTATTTGATTAATCAGCCAATTAATTAATGGATTGAATCATTCTGCTTGATTTTTTTTTTAATTGAAGCAGAGTAACAGGCTCATCTTCCACTCACAGCAATCCTCCTGAGGCAGGGACTACCGGTGTGCGCCACCATGCCTGGCTATGAATGAAAATACGAAAAGCTTGTTCCTAGCCAGACACGGTGGCGCACACCTTTAATCCCAGTGCTCTGGAGGCAGAGTCAAACAGATCTCTGTGAGTAAGTCTGTCAGACAGATCTCTGTGGCCAGCCTGGTCCACACAGCAACCAGGGCTGCATAGTGTGACTCTGTCTCAAAAAAAAAAAAAAATCAAAACAAACAAAACCTCAGACATGTAAAGATAAACACTTATGGAACAGAGTGGAGGACCCAGAAATAAACATACAGACAACAGATAAAACCACTGAATCCTCACCAATGTGTCAAATCCATAAACTAGAAAAGACAGCATCTTCAACAAACAGTGCAAGGAAAAATGAGTATCTGCATCTCTTACGTGCAAAAAATCCATCTGATTAAAGGTTTTAAGACCAGAAACTCTGAAATTGCTAGATGCAAAAACCTGAAGACCTACGAATAGTGTCCAAGACACAGTGATTCTCACCTCACAATGAAAACTAGGACATACCTGAAAACAGCTTGGTATTGGCACAAAAATAGACAGGTAGACCAATGGAATCGAATCGAAAGCCCTGAGATTAATCCACAGACCTATGAACACCTGGTTTTCGACAAAGAGGCTAAAACTATACAATGGAATAAAGAAAGCATCTTCAA